AGTGGGGCTTAGTTGGAGGCAGCAAATCATTGCCCCACTCTACTTCCTGTCCACCATGATGTGTGCATCTCTGGCATGACAACCCTGTCCTCCACCCCCATGATAGAGTAAAACCTCTGAAACTCTGAGCAAAATAAATCTTTCCAGGGCTGGAGAGATGGCTCAGTGGGAGCACTGACTGCTCTTGCAGAGGACATGCGTTCAAGTCCCAGCACCCACATGGCAGCTAATAACCACCCATAACTCCAGTTCCACGGGATCTTCTGACCTCCACAGGCACTTCACAGCATGGGTGCACTTATGCACACGTAGGCAATACACTCATGCACGTAAAATAAAAATAATAAATAAAATGTTTAAAATAATAATTTTCCCCCCTTAAGATTTTCCTGTGGGTATCTTGTCACAGTAGCATCAAGTAACACAGCTTATTTGAAAAATATTGGTCTACAAACCTGAAACTAGTAGTAATACTTGCCTCCAGAGCTCATCTCTGAAATTCCTACTTCTACATCAGTGTTTACCCATCAAATCCCTTTTTACTTTGGTTTACCATTAATATCTTTAGCTTCATTTATTATGAATACCAGTACAGAAAGAATGAAAAATTTAAAGTCTCTTTCCCTCTGCGTTTCTTCCAGTCCTGACTGATTCTGAAGATAATAATTTGGTTTATCTGTTTATATGACTGTGTCAACCAAATATGTTAATGGAACTCCTTCATGATAACTGTTCTCAAATCTTAGTGAGTCTCAGAACCACCAGGATCTTGTGGGGAAATGGTTGTTAAAATGAATACTCCCTATGGATAGACAGAAAGTCCTATGCTAGGCCTACAAATCTGCATTTTAACAAGTTATGTGATTCAGTTATTTTTGGCTCATTCATTGGGCTTGGAGACAACTAGAATTTAGAACACTTTTTAAATCTTTCCTGAAAAATTGACAGCAGCTTTTATATGTGATATGTCTGGGTTTTAACTATGTAAATGTTTGATGCAAATAAAAGAAGCCCAGGACTATTTCAGAGATTAAAGGACTCAGCCCTTTCACTTTTTAAATGGGGAGAGACAGACTTGGAGAAGTGTACACCTTGGTCAAAGTTGTGGCTGGCTATTGATAGAGCCAGAATCAAGCCCAAGTCATTGGACCATAAACGGAAGCTCCTCGGTGTACAGGACTCTCTCAGTAAATGAAAACCTGTCTCTCAGTAGTGTGAATGAACTTGGTGTCCCTAACTTGTAGATGTTACTGAGACTTGTGGGGGTGAGGGACCACCAGCTTAACAACATGCTTTGGGTATTCTGAGCAGGGTCTGCTGGACCATAGGATGCTGAGTACAGCACAAAGGAGACATCATTAATCCCAGAAATTCAAAAATAAGTGGGCCCCCTATCTTTCAGAGAGATGGAACTTTCTAGAGATGCTATATGTGGTAAAGGAGGGCAGTGACTATTTTTTAATTTTAATTTTTTGGATCTATTTATTTTTATTTTATGTGTATGAGTATTGTGCCAGTGCCATTAACCACTAAACCACCTCTGCAGTTCCATGACTATTTTTTAAAAGCTGTATTTCATAATGAAAAACATTTTCAAAGAAATGAGATGTCAGAAGGAGGGAAAGGTGTGGTCAAGTTGATGCTTAAAAGACAATATAGTGGGACATGAATATGCAGTAGGCAGGAGCACTAGGTGGATCTCGAGGCAGTTCCGGGCAGCAGTTCTGTTAATCATCTGGGAGTCTGAACTCAGATCTCAAATCACACACTGAGAAAACTGCCAAGTGATTGAAAGCTCAAGCCAGGAACTGGGGATGTAGCTTAGTAGAGTGCTTACCTACCACACACAAGGTCTTGTGTTTGATCACCATATAAGCCAGGTATGGTGGTGCATGCCTAGTTATCCAGCACTCAGGAGGCAGAGGCAGGAGGATCAGAAGTTAAAGATAAACTTGTTATTTTAGGTACTAATATAATTCTTGATTTTGGAATTATACAAATGTATTGTCTACTCAAAACTTAATTTATTCAAATATCATCCATAAAAATCTCTTAAATATATATGTGGTTTCTGTCAATGCTAACTAACCCCACTGAACCCTAATCTCCAGGATGGAGGACTGCTATGTTCTTACCCCTAAAGACCTACTGAGTTATTTCCTTCTTGCTTCTGAATATGAAGTAATAACCCCAAACAGCCCTTATATGGGAGATTGAGTATACAGCAAGCCACCATCTGCCCAAGTTTTCCAAGATGAATGTCATGATTGTTATATGGCCTCCAGGAAACAATTTATAGCTATGGATGAATCCATTTCTCTAATTCTGTTTTTTTATTATTATTTTTAAATGAGAGAAAGTAGCCCATTTTGAGTTCTTTGTGATAAGTGGATGAGAAGGAGCCAAGCAGCCTTCAATCATTGTTTCTGACCACCGCCATCCACACTATGTTCATGGTCTGTTCAAAGCAATGATGTAGATGTTTATGAAAAGAACCAGCAAAGGAAAAAGCCCATGCTATAAGTAAGCTTGAATGTCATAAAAAAATCCATCTTTTCTGGTATCTGCCAAAGTTAAAAATATATGCACACCCATGCCCTGGCAATTCTCATCTTAAAGGTATAACAGGAGAAATGTACTCACCTGTGCAACAAACAGTATGCATTTGAAGCATTAGTCTTCACACCCCAAAATTCAAGATTAAGACAGACTAAATTGTAGACTATTTCAACCACGAAATTCTACACAGCAATGTAAAGGGAGACCTGGAATTCAGTGCAATAGTCTCACAATCAGAATGCTGTGCAAAAGAAGACAGACGGGAAAGAAGACAAATGGAATAAAGCTATTTATATGATAGACAGAAAAAAAACCCCTCTGCTTTGGAAATAAAAAGGTTTGGTGGAAGATTGTACTTAAAGATGGTGTGGATGGTGCTGCTGGATTACTGACCTACAAGACCAGTTAAAACAAAGCCATCAAACAATTTACTTAATATTTGATTCTTTTTCATTTTGTTGTGCATTTAAAAAACTTTAAAATTCACTCCAAGCCAGAAAAAGCCATGTGTGAATGTGTTTTGAATGTCACAGTCTTAACTTCTAAATCAATGTTCTCACTGTCCCTACTGAGATACTAATGAAATTCCAAATGGTGGGCTAATAGGATAGGATGCTTTCATATATAACTCCTAAAGAATTATATGTGAAATACATACAATTCATATATGGCCTTGATGGTCTACAGCAGCTTCTTGCTCCCCATCTAGACAAAATAGGTGGCAGAGGAAAGGCTGTGAGCTGTGAGGAGGGCACACCTGCAGTCACATGTTGGGCTCAGAAGCTCTAGACTGAAATTCCCACCAAACCTAATTTTCTAGATAATCAAAACTTCTCTCATTATACAACTCCTTCATTTAAAATGAAATCATTTTAATGGAATCCTTCTAAATTGTATTTCACACGTCTCTGACTTTTTAAAGATCCATGGAATCGAATTTAACCTTTACAACAAATGACAATAAAAGTAAGTGCCATCTTATGCCAGGTGCTACCCAAAATGCTCTCTAGCACGTTTTGTTCCTCTTATTCATCACAAAATCCTTATGAATTAGGTCCTATTATTGTTCTCATTTTATGTATGAGGCTTAGAATGATTAAATAACTGTCACAAAAAGTCAGACAGCGAATAGAGGAGGCAGAGTTCACTGTCTCCAAAGCCTAAACACCTGACCACTCATTGTACTATTTTTGCTTCTTTTGTGTGTGGGAGGGGAGGGTGGGTATAGGTGTGCATACATGTGTGTGTACGTCAACTGTTCTCTGGTTCATTTGTTGAGACAGGGTCTCTTACTGGATGGGAGCTCATCCACTTGACCAGACTGTCTGACCAGTGCATTCCAGGGACCCTCCCTAGTACTGGGATTTCAGGCACATGCCACCATGCCTAGCTTTTTTAAACACACGGGTTCTTGGGGACAAAATGCTGAATCCACCTCTCCTGCCTGTATTATTCTCATTCTCTCTCTCTCTCTCTCTCTCTCTTTCTCTCTCTCTCTCTCTTCTCCCTCCCCCCTCCACTGTGTGCACATGTGTGTGCAGATGCTCTTGCCTGTGAGTATGTGAGGCCAGAGGTTGTCATCAGGCATCTTCCTCTATTGCTGTCCAGCTTATTTGTTGAAAGGGGATCTCTTACTGAATCTGGAGCTTGCTGTTTGGGTTGGATTAACTGGCCAGGGAACCCAGGAGATTCACCTTTCTGTGCTCCCAAGCTGGGGTTCAGTTGCACACTACCATGCCTGACATTTTTTACATGTGTGCTGAGGATCTAATTCAGGTTCTCACGCGTGCACAACAAGCACTTTGCTTACTGAGATATCTCCCCAGATTGCAGCCTTCTTTACAGCTCCATTCTACACACCAGTGGGTAGAACAGAACACTGACTGTACCCTTAGAAAGGTGGTTGGAGTTCTCATTGCTACCCTCTCTTTATCCCTCACCTGCTTTTTGTTTTCTTCTTTTCCCTGATGACCAGGATGAAATCCAGGATTCCTTGCAGTCCACACAGACAGACTTCACCACTCCGTTTCCAGCCCCCTTCATCGATATTAAACTACCAAGCAGTCACCGTTATTCCCCATCCTCCTACCCCAAAACTCTACTTTCTAAAATCTAATAAAAATCTTACTTTTCATTTATATTTAAGCTCTCAACCTTCTTAGGTCTTCCTACTTGGCTAAAATATCCCGTGGAGTTGGACCAACTTCTTTATCAATTTAAGGAACCCCTCTGGGTTTTTGCATTTCAACGTCTTGTGGGTTTACTGTCTCTTAACAAGAAGCCTGTGATGCTGGTGAGATTAACAAAAACACTCCTCTGCTGGGGGCCATCTGGCCTGAATACTTCAGAAAACATAGCATCCTCACAGATAAGCATCAAGGTGTGCGGTCTCTCTGTCAGGTTTAAGCACTGGCCTGCAGAGAAGGAACTGCTGTCCTTACCCTGTTTTCAAGCTGACCAAGGCATCCTCGACTCCCTTCTGGTTATATTTGGTCATGTACTGGTGCATATAGGGGTAGTTGTTGCGGATATTCCTCTCTGTGCTTCCATTAGGTACTGTCCCAAATCGAAAAGGTGGGGAGTAGTCATGAGGTCTCTGAAACTGGAGGGGGAGGAGAGAAGGAAGAGAGGATAAAGGAAGAGGAAGAAGAAATTAGTGATCATTGGCACAGAGACAGAAGTAAGCATGCAGTAGTAGCAGACATCCCAAAAGACTGGTCTGTGATTTCTTTGTGCCTAATCACATCTTCCGTGGGTCTGTGAGCATCGGGAAGGTAGAAGCAGTGTCTGGCTTTCGTTTTCAGTTTTGTTTTCCATACTGTTACCCAGTGTCCAGCATGTTTATTTGCTGAAGTTGATTTTTCTTTCTCTGTGCCATTACAGAGACTAGTACAATGCTAGGCACACAGTTGGCACTTGGCTGAAGGAACTCGAGTTAAGGGCTTACTTAATGCAAATTCATTTACCTTTCTGTGATTACCACCAATCACACCTTGCTCTGAACTCCATGTACAGTGGGTTCATGCAGATAATGACTGTATTCTCCATTCATTCATCCCACATCCTCTCACTCATTCACACAGGCAATAGTTGTGGAGTCCTAAAAATCCTGGTCCATGGCAGACTCCAGGATAGTTTGTGACTGAAAGGCCCTACTGACTTTGCTTCCTGGGATACTCAAGTATTGCTTGGAAGTTTTCCAGACTCCATGATTCTTTCCTGACTGACTGACTGGATGATACTATATTTCCACAGCTTGTGTGTGTGTATGTGTGTGTGTGTGTGTGTGTGTGTGTGGTGGGGGCTTGCTATAATTCCTTAGGACACAGGACACAGTCCACTGTGTTTTTCGAGACAGGATCTCTAACTAAACTTGGAACTTTCCAAATAGGCTAGGCAGGCTGGCCTACAACTTCCACGGATAGAGCTCTGGTAGAACAAGTTCAGGTTCTTATGCTTGCAACACAAACACTAGATACTGAGCCATCACTCCAGCCTCATGTTCACAGCTTTAAAAAATTTATTGGCATAATATTATTTATACAAAATAATGGGTTTTTTTAGAACATTTTCATATACATGTATGATGCTTTAGTCGTGTTTTGGGTGATTCAACCCAATTAGAAGTCAACAGACATAGACTTGCATCCTAGAAATACAGTTGACCCTAATGCCAAGCAGAGGCAAGCTTGGGATCTTGACTGAGCCACATCATCTTGCCTCCAATAGTCTTCCACCTACAGAGTGGGGACTACACCAACACTTCCCTTGTCGGATCATTCTGAAGATCTAAACAGCATTTGCTAAGTGCCTAGAACAGCATCAGGAACAGAGAAAGATTCAAAACTAATATGTTTAATACTTTTTGTTTTTATCATTATGAGCAAAAGAGTAAACAGAGCTTCATTTTTCTATGGACTGTGAATTTCGGAACTAGAAGGTAGTAGTCATAACGACCCACATTTAGTTAGTTAGTTAATAATGAATGACGTTTTCCCAGGACTTACATGGGGATAGCGGTATGCCAAAGACTTTTATAATTATTCAATTATGTAACCTCACAATAGCTCAGGTAGAAGTTATTCTTACAGTTCCATTTTACAGATGAGGAAACCGAGGTTCAGGTTGCATGACCTGTGTAAGATTACACTGTGAAATAGCGGTTCAGAGTTCAAATGTATATCATCTGACCACAGCTAAGTTCTTAACTCCAGTAGTGCTAGTGATATCTGCTTGGGTAGAGATGAGAGCCTGGAAAAGCCAGGCACAGGCATGGTTGCACACACCTGTATCTCAGCACCAGGGAGGCAGAGGCAGGAGAACGATAAGTTCAAGGTCAGTCCATGCTATCCATTAAGACATTATCTCAAAAATAAATAAAAGATAGATGGTGGCTGGAGAGATGGCTCAGCAGTTAAGAGCACTGAATGCTCTTGCAGAGGACCCGGGTTCAATTCCCAGCACTAACCATCCTTAACTCCAGCTACTAACCATCCTTAACTCCAGTTCCAGGGGAATCTGAAGCCCTCTTCTGACCTCCATGGCACTGCACAGCATGGGTGCACTCACATACATGCAGGCAAACACTCATACACATAAAATAAAAATAATAAATAAATAAAAGATTTTGAAAAAAAAGATAGATGAGGACCTAGAGAGCCTGAAAGGGCAAGAAAACCCAGCAAACCAGGACCAGAACCAGGACCACAGTCCAGGTGTCTCTCCAAATGGCAGACCTACATGCTTTCCACAAAATTAAGAACTTCCAGAGAAAGTGTCCAAGTTTACCCAAGAGCTAGACCAACCAGAAACACTTATGTTACTTCCAGAACTCACACTTCACCGTTAATTAGAATTTCCAGTTGAAAATCATTTTCCCTAAATTAGGCACGCTGCTGTGTAATCAGCAGTTATAACTGGATTTGGGAGAAGTGGCCATCCATTGTTCAAATGAGATCCTCCGGCCAAGTTACATTTTGTATGTATGTATGTATATATGTATGTGTGTGTACACCTGTATATGTGTATGTATGTATATGTGGCATGCAAATATGTATGTGTGCATGTATATATATGTTTATACATGGTATGCATGTATATATCTGTATTTGTCTTGTGTGAATGTGTGCACATGCATGTGTTACATGCTTTCCACAAAATTAAGAACTTCCAGAGAAAGTGTCCAAGTTTACCCAAGAGCTAGACCAACCAGAAACACTTATGTTACTTCCAGAACTCACACTTCACCGTTAATTAGAATTTCCAGTTGAAAATCATTTTCCCTAAATTAGGCACGCTGCTGTGTAATCAGCAGTTATAACTGGATTTGGGAGAAGTGGCCATCCATTGTTCAAATGAGATCCTCCGGCCAAGTTACATTTTGTATGTATGTATGTATATATGTATGTGTGTGTACACCTGTATATGTGTATGTATGTATATGTGGCATGCAAATATGTATGTGTGCATGTATATATATGTTTATACATGGTATGCATGTATATATCTGTATTTGTCTTGTGTGAATGTGTGCACATGCATGTGTGTATGTGTGCATATGTGTATATGTGTGCATGTGTGTATATATAGTGTATGCTTGTGTACATGTATTTGTGCAATGCATGTGTTTTCATGCGTGTACATATGTATGTGTATATGTATGTGTGTATATGGGTACATGTGTATGTGTGTATGCAGGAAAAGGCTCTATGCAATCACACTTCCACACAGCATCCTTGCTCATCACCAGACGAGAAGGCTCAAAGCCAGGCTCCCATGCACAGCAGCTGTGGGCTCTGGGGGAATGGCAGAATAGCACTACTCGTAAATCTCGTTGTTGTAACAGCCGTTCCCAATCTCCAGAGACACCGGAGAGGGCCCATTTGACTAAAAGCCTTCCACTGTGCTCTTCATCTGTTGCAGAGTTTCAGCATTGCTGGCTTGAGATTCACTTTCTTCTTTGCCTCTGATTTGCACGGAGATGGAGACAAATATTCAGTCTCTGTGATGGTTTCCACCTCTCAGACATCAATAAAAGGCCCCAGTCAGCACCAAGATACAGAAATCTTCTCCCTAGATAAAAGTCTATCAAACTTTTTAAAACAATGTCTCGCAATACACTTTCTGTTGCTGCCCTGTATACACATACGTATATGCACACACACATGCACACACACATACACACACATACACACACACACAAAAATTTCACAGTGCTCACAGAGCAACATACTCTGGTGCTCTGATGTTGTATTTTTATGACTTTCAAAATATATTGACTTATTTTAAAATTGAAATGTAACAGAATGTACCACTTAAAACATCTTTAAGTGTGTCTTTCACTGGCATTAAACACATTCATTTCATGCAACCAGCACCATTGTCCATAGGTGTTCACTGTTTTACAGAGCCCAACCTTTACATTAATTCTGTGGCCTAATGAAGAGTCACGACCTTCACTGTAAAAAGTTAGGGTTAAGGGTGACTGACCTTTCTTGTCTAGGTCTCCATCACAAACATGTTATATTTCCTCCTGGAATGACTTCTGGTGAGGCTTTCTTCCAGCACATCCCACATGCAAGCAGAGAGGAGCAGATGTGGTTTTATTGAAGCAAGGGGAGCTACAGAGCCTTTAGTGTCAATGGGACCACAGAGCAACATCACGGGGTCCAGATCAGGGGAAGCCCTCCGGACTCCTTGCTGCTCAGGTGGACTAACTCCACCTGCTTTGAACTCGGAGTAGCCAAGGTCAGCTTCTCATCTCCCACTTAGAAACTGGGTTATTTTGAACAGCCCATGAAGCTCTCTGAGCCTATTTCTCTTATCTCTACACTGTACTTAGGCTTTGGAAATTAACCACAAAATGCTTGAAATGATCTGTGATTCTACTGCTTCATGCAGATCACATTATGTGTTGCATTGGGATCATGCATGTGTTATGTTCAGTAACTGTGGTTACCCAGAGTAATTTTAGCCAGTCTCTCTCCAATTTGGAGAACACAGGATCATTACTTAATTTTCTTTTGTCTTATTCACCATGGAGGCAAGTCTGAAGGTCGTCTGAGAGAATAAGATATGGCAAGCATTTATGATGGAGGAGAGAGGGACACAAAGCCAGGAGATAAAAATTTCCGGGAGAATTCAGCAATTAATCAAATTTCTTCATTCTGCTATAGATTTAGTAAAGATGTCTCCCATGTCTGTAAATGAAGACCATAGCAACTAGAACTTCTATTTCCAGTATTACCTTCAGTGGGTGAAGCATATGTATATAAGTGTGTGTGTGTGTGTGTGTGTGTATGCATGTGAATGTCAGAGGACAATCTCCAGTGTCATTCCTCAGGATATCATCCACCTTGCTTTTTGAGCCAGGGTTTCTCACTAGCCTGAAACTCTCCAAGCAGGCTAGGGCAGCTGGCCAGTGAGCTCCAGAGATCTCCCTGTCTCCAGCTTCCCATCTGGGATTACAAGTATGCACCACCATGCCTCCTTTTTTTTTTTTTTTTTTTTTTTTTTTTTTACACGGATTCTGATGGATTCTGAAGATTGAACTCAAGTTCTGGTACATCTCAAGACAAGCACTTTACCAACTGAGCTATATCCCCAGCCTACACCACATGTTTCTTTATGTAATATCAAACAGATGAGGCCTTCAGCAGAGGAAGGATTGGCTAAGAGGCCTCCCTGCCTAGACGATGATCTCCACAAGGCAGTATAACTCTGAGACTATAAGCACAGGCTCCCCTTCCAAGGGAAAGTCCTAAATTCCTGCAGACTGTTGCAAAAGGCCAACTCAGTGCGGTAAATTTCCAGGATACAAAGTGGAGTAGTTTGACTAAGGCAGCAATGATGGTAGTGAGGAGGGGGAGGAGGAAGGAGGAAGAACAGGAAGGAGAGGGGAGTGCAAAGAGGAAGTGGGAAGGAGGAAGCAGCGTGTAAGTGTTAGGATGATCAGCGGTGTGCCACATAGGGTAAGAACATTACTCCTAATCCTCATATGCACCTTGCCAGAAAGCAGTAGCATATTCCTTTATTAGGAAACCAAGTCTTAAGGATATTGGCATATGGGAAGCCTTAAGACCATCAGAGGGCCAGGTCAGAATGTGAACTCAGACCTGTTTGACCCCAAGCATGATACTGCTCTTTCCACAATGTGGCTCTGCCTCTCAGAGATGGATTTCCTCTATCATCGTATGTCTTAACATTTTGGAAAGGGTCCTCAGTTACACTCCAACTTTCCTTTAATCATTCCTAGGAAGCTTCTTTCATGAATTCAATCTATTTGTTATATAAGCCAAAGTTCAACCGAGTACACCACAGGCTCAAACTACGTTTCTTTCATAGCAAGCATTAATAGTTTAAAAGAATCACAAGCTGAGTGGTTATACAGGTATTCCTGTTTGAAAAAACAAAACAAAACAGAACAGAACAAAATCAAAAGCAGCCTCTGAGTACAGTATTCAAACAAATTGATTCAATGTAGTTTTTGGTTTGCAAACTTTCTTAATGTATCTGCCATTAATCTAGGAACATTTAGTTTATTTACTCTAAGAATTTTATTGTTTATCTAATTGCATCAAACATTTAATTAAAAGAACTATCAGCTTGCCTTTAATGCTCTGAGCATAGAAGTTGAGCTGGGTCCCTCGGGATACGGTAATCTGCTACTAGGTGCTTCCAAATCATAGAAGGTCAGTCAAATTATTAGTGCTTTAAATTAGTTTTCTCACAAGTGGTCGTATTATTTGAACCCAAAACTATGATGCAAGGAATTTCTTCTTTGTCTTTGAAAATAGCAACAAAAGAACTGGGGGGATGACTCAGTGAGTTAAGGTGCACGCTGCACAAGTGTAGGACCTGAATTTGGATCACTAGCACTTGTGTAAAAAAATGACATAGCAGCACACACCCTTAACCCCAGGGCTGGAGGGAGGAGGTGGGGCAGAAGCAAGAGGATCCCAGGGCTTTGCTGGCCAGCAAGTCTACACAAAATAACATGCTTCAGGTTTAGTAAGAGATCCTACTTCAAAAATATTAGGTAGAAAGTAACTGAAGACAACCTCTGATATTGATTGGTATTGACCTCTGGCTTACACACACACACACACACACACACACACACACACACACACACACTCAATAGGAAGTAAAATAGTTGCTAACTGCTTTTCTGAAAGTTCATCCCATTCAGGGTACAGCTCCCTACTGCCTCCTGCAAACTTCCAATCCCTTCCTCTAGGAATTGTATTTTTGATCCTAAAATATAATGGGGTCCCTGAATAGAACTTCATGTCTGTGGAAGATGTCATAGGATACAAGATGCATTCACCGTTGTAGTATCTCCACAACAATGACTCCCAGATTCACAGAGAAGGACCAGCAGGCAGTGAGGTTTCATGATGTAGTTGTTCATGGCAGAAAGGAAGTGAGGAATCCAACTTTTCTGACTCTAAATGTAAATAAATGACTTCGGTTCCTTATGGATGCTGCTTGGTTTAGATGACGGTCTCTCAGAATCTAATCCTGAGCCCAAGATTGGGGTGAAATGACTTAGTAATGATATGATCCAGGAGAAACCAACAAGGGAGAAAGTGTTAAAGAAGGGGAGGAAGCCAGTCAAGGTCCTGATGTTCCTGATGTAAAGTCTGTATCTCTGTTTATGTCCATGGAGAGCTCTACACAGTCCATGTGCCTCAGTTTGTCCATCTGAAGAGTAAGGGAGAACCTGGGTTTTGTCCTGATAACACTGATTACAGGTGACCATAAGAAAGAGAGGGATTTAAATGCTTACTGTTGCAGTGCCCATAGTACAATCTACTGAAGATTCCTACTGCGAGCCTTGACAGCAAAGAATGAAAAGAAGGGGTGGGGATGCTGTGGATATGAACTGGAAAGATTCCTGTAGACTCAGGTGAGGGGTATGCACGTCTAATATACCATGCATATACTCATTCAGCCACTAGGTTGATAATGAACATTTCCCAAGTGCCAGAAAACTCTATTAAAAAGTATAGCCCTGGTAATACAGGCCTGTCATTCCAACTACCTAAGAGACTGAGGCAGGAGGATCAGAAGTTAAAAACCTGTTTGGCCTACAGAGTGAGTTCAAAGTCAGACTGGGCAATGTAATGAGACCCTGTCTCAAAACAGAAAGCAAAAAGAGGACTGGGGATGTAGCTCAGTGGTGGAACACTCATGTAGCATGCATGTGACCCTGGGATCAGTCTCCACTGAGGAAAAGAAACTTGGGGCAGTGAGGAAGGAAGGAAGAAAGGAAGGAAGGAGGGAGAGAGGGAGGGGGAGAGAGGGAGGGAGGGAGGGAGAGAGGGAGGGAGGGAGGGAGGGAGGGAAGGAGGGAGGGAAGGAAAGAAGAGAGAAGAAAGATCCCTGCGGTCCTCTTCCCTGAGCCAATTTCAGTCGTACCAACTTTATCTCTTAAGATCTTTTCCTGCCTGACATTTTCTTCTTCTCTGATGTTTACTTGTATATTGTATATTTCTTCCTACTAAAACTTAAATTTTTTCCAGAGCTCTAGCTCAGACTGCCAAGTTCACCCCAATACAGGAAAGGTCTCTCTGGGGGTGCTGGTGTTTTCTCTCCAACCTGAAATTCAAGGAGAGCCAGGCATGGGAAGGTGAGGGTAAAACATTCCAGGCAAAAAACCCAGGAAGCCCAAGGGCACCAGGGTGGGAATGAACTTTGGTAAGCAAGAAGGATGGAATATGTAAGGATGAGGGTGGGGTGGAAGGGGACCTACTCCAGCTGTGTTGGCAGCTCTCCAGTCTTTTGAGAGAGGCCAGGCACCTCCCAGGCACCTTTAACAAGTTGATTCCATCTTTGTCCCAAATGTCTCACCGTCTCTCATTTTCTAGGACACAGTGTCCCTCTTTCTCTGACAGTGTGTGCCATGGATAAGCTGCAAAGGCTTTTCATGGACTGATTTTCTACTCAGCAGTTTGTTGATGAATGCCAAAAGGATAGATGCAGACTTATGTCAACAAGATACGACAGGAAGGTTTTATAAAGAGACAAATTATCCTCACACACGAGACAGAAAATCTCTGCCATGCTGCAGTCTCAGCACTGCTGAGTTTAGCAAGTCAGGATTTGTTTCCTGGGCTAAAATTTCAATAGGAGAATGCACCCAGTTTACCTCTTTTCATCTTCTGTGTGAGTTTCTGAATAGACACTCAAGCCTTGCAACCCTCGCTGGAATTCAGTGTGGATGGGGAGAGCAGGTGTTACGTGCTTCAGCTTCACGAGGCAGAATGTGCGGTTGTGCATCTAAGAGACCATAGGAGACAGAAACCTCCATGCTCCTTTCAGGTCACTTAAAGACACTTCTGGAAAGTTGGAAACCCTGCTGACCAAGCTAACTTGGCTGCACAGTGAAGAGAAGCTCCAAAGCAACTGTGTTTCTGGATGCAGCTTATAGATAGCTTAAAATACATATAGAGCATGAAAACTTCAAGAAGACTCACAGAGGTAGGAGGTACCTACAGCTCTTCCCCTAAGTTTCTTCTTGACCAGGCCAGCATACCCTCCTTAGTATCAAACCCCCAGAAAGTGTGGTGTCATCAGTGCTGCAAGGTGCCCTTGAGCCACAGGGCCTCAGTTTAAGCATCCTTAAGAAGATCTTAACAAAGCTACTAAGAGAAGCCAGGGTTTCCAATTAGATCCAAAATCCCTTATATCCAGGACAACAAAGTTTAAGCATCCATCTCCAACTTTTTTTCATAAATATGCAACATTTATGATGAAAATTTCTTGGCTTTCAGCTATTGAGTAGATGGGTCAGGACCCTAAGGGCCTGAATCATCCCGTTTTAAGGACAGCAGTTAGGACCAACCTTCAGACTGAGAGGAAACGAGTTGACCCTACCTTTTTGTCACTGAGGCCAGTCACTTGGTCCACAAACTCCTCTTGGATCATGAAAGCAGCCAGGTTGGCCGTGTAACTGGCCAGGAAGATGACAGCAAAGAAGGCCCACACGGACACCATGATCTTGCTGGTTGTTCCTTTAGGATTCTGGACAGGCACAGAGTTGTTGAAGACCAGGCCCCAGAGGAGCCATATAGCTTTCCCAATGGTAAAAGAAGGCCCATGGGGTGCTGCAAAGGACAGAAAGGGCATTCTCGGTGTTTGTTCAGAATACACACTCACACGTGTATGATAACTGTGGCAGCTACTAGCAGTACTAAAGGTGGACAGAAGATGGAACTGTATCAAAATTATTTCTTTTCAGTTTTCTAGAACCCTAACACAGTCAACTTCTTTTTCCTTTAAAATAATTAGAATTTTCTCATATTTCTATCTAACTGGATTTTACCACATTTCTTAGAAAGAAGAAAGGAAAAAAAATAATTATACGAAATGGTGGTAGGTTGAAAAATGATGTTATGACCTGTTTTAAATTCAGATTTGATTTCCATTTGGAGAACCAATCACCTTAATAAATGTAAAGAAGGGGTTGGAGGGTAGGGAGTGGGGGTGGACTTAATAAAAACACATTATCTACATATAGGAAATTCTCATACAATACAAAATAAACAAACGTAAAGGAAGCCTGGCAGAAACACATTCAGGGGCCTGGGGTGGAGTGGGATAGGATGGGGTGGGGAGTGAGGGATGGGAGGGTAGGGTAGGATGGGGTGGGGAGTGAGGGATGGGAGGGTGGGGTAGGATGGGGTGAGGAGTGAAGGATGGGAAGAAGGGGACCCGCTGCTTCAGGACCTGCCATCTGCCATCACTAAGAATCATTCAGTCTTGCAGGCCCATGCTTGGTATTCTAATTTGATTGTCCCTAGAAACTGTTCCTGTTCAAATTCAGATGTAAAGTGAGCACAGTATAAAAATCAAACTCTTTCCGCATAGCGATGTTAAGAAACAGAACAATAGAGCTTAATGCTTCCAACGATGCACAGATGGAAGACATTTCATTGCAGGGTCACAGAGATGAACTCTGATATTGCAGCACTTTTTCTCTCTGTGCATCCTCTCAACATCATGTCCCTTTTAAGATTCTTAAATGTTCCTTGCAACAGACTTCACTAAAGAAGCAGAACAATACATGAAAATTTATTGGGATGGGGCATATGCAGACAGTATTACACTCAAGTGATGATTTTCAAGACTTTGTATTGTACTAGGAAAGAAAAAAAAATCAATTATACCCTCACTTCAAGAGAAAAAAAAGTTTTAAGCAGAAGGTTAATTTTTATGTCGTTTAAGTAAATGAGGATATGAAAAACTGATCCACTGAGACTTCAGCTGGCAGTGAGAACAGAATGGGCAATAAATAAAGCAGCAGAAGTGAATTCTGATTGATGGAAATTACGAAGTTCTGGGTAGGCAGCCTAAGAGAAGCAAGCGCTCTCCACACTGCCGGTCAGACTCTGGTGACAGCATACCATAACGTCCACAATACAACATATGAAAGAGAAAGCAATTAATTCTATTATTCTCAATCTCAAACTCTCCCAATTCTCCTTGCCTAGTTTTAAGATCATCTGGGCTTATTCCTAGGAAGCTGGGAACTCTTAGGAGGAAAAAAATAGAGTCAATTCAGTTAACTTTGTAGACTACTTAATCTTACAGATGCACATATGCCAGAAGTGACAGTTATTCAGGAACCAGAGAGAGTGGTTGCATGGGGTTTGTGGAGAACTTTTGGAAATTCCAGGTTCATGAATATCATTATTGCACCATATAACTTTCCCTATAGAGAGGTGAAATGTAACAGAAAAGTATTTTGCAAAGAAACAGGGAGATTTCATTTCCTGAGAATTGTCACATGTGCATGAGCAGAAAAAGGAGAGCTTTATGTAATGGGAGTCAGGGAGTTGTAAGCTAGAGCTTTCTTTCTCCAGTGAATACTTTTGCCAAGGGAGAAACCATTGCATGAGATGGTCTTTGCATTTTGTTTATTGCCACGGCTCCAACTTCATAGGCCTTGGTCAAGTCTAAACTACCAAAATCTTTTTAATTCTTTGAAAATTTCATACATGTATACAATGTGTCTCAATCATATTTGCCCCTCATCCAGCACCCCAGCATCACATTTCCCTCCCAATTTTATGTTCTTTTTAATTTTTAATTTTTTTAATTATTAAGAAATTTTTTAAGAAGAAGCATTT